GTAAAGGGCCAGCTACTAGCATAGCAGAATTTCAGGACCTTCACCATATTTCTTTACTCACTAATGCATGATGCTACATGAAGATAATCAGTAGAAACATTCAAACTATTATCAGATATGAAATAATAGAGTTTGATCAGATAAACAAAATAATTGTTGAAATCTATAAGAGTCCTTTCCACTTTAACATCCTTCTACAGTTTGGTGTTATTGGTATTGATTGTGGCAGATTCCTACAGAATTTTTTGATCATGCCATTTTCTCCTCCCGTAATTCCTCTAAATCCTCTCCACATCCCTATCTTCTCAATTTATATTCTTTCTCTCACTCTCTTAAAAATTAACAAATAAACAGTAAAAATGTACACATGTACACAAAACCCCACAAGAATGAAACAGGAAATCAAAGTAAACAAGCAAAAGACCGGTGAGGCAAAAAAGTGCCCAAACAAAACAAGTACGGGTCCCTTGGAAGCAACCAAAGTTGGCTCCAGATTGCACAGTCCCATCAGGCTAATCTCAATTTTAAGTGCAGGAGACAAGCTTTCTTTTCAGTGCCTCTTTTGTGAAGCTATGATGGATCGGCAACTGTTGAGCTAGTAAGGTTTCCAGGAATGGAAGCCACAAAACGCTGTCCTCAGCAGACTGCTAACTAATAAATTGACGTCGTCTTAAAACCAGCCACTGCTAGTAGAAATGATTCCGGCTCTGCTACAGTCCTGAACACTTTTCACTGTGCAGCATCTTCTGAACAGCTGCCAGGATTTAGTGTCCATATGGTCTGAATGAGAAGGGAGGCCGGGATTCCTCGTATGTAGAAACAGAGACAGTTTTAAGAACAAGAAATGCTAAGAGAAAAATACAGGTGGAGGGAAAACTAGGGTACTACACAGAATAAAGTCCTGAAACTCCAGGCTCTGGTAACATCTTATATCGTCTACCAATTCCAGCATTAAATGACCATTATATGAAAACCTTATCTAGTCTGGTAAATTACCATTCCTGTCCTCTTGGTACTTGCCTATGTTCCTAACCAAGAAGTCTTGTCCTTTTGGTCACTTTATATGGAGTCTTCTCATTTACTGTTTACTCTTCATCCTCACACTATACACAGTGCCCGTTAGACTATGGCACTATTTGTAAACAAGCTCTATATTTTCCTTATCCTACCATATTCCTCACTACAAGAGCATAGACATACTCTAAAGCAAGGAATAGTTCCTGTTGCAATTTAAGAAAAGCAGCGCTCAAGAGAGAAAGATGCCATGAGACAGGATTCAAGCAGGTGGGTTTTTCATTAGGGAAAGGGATCATTAAAGGAGAAGGGGAGTGGGGGATTCCGGCCTCTGGGGACAGGTGCAGCAGGAAAGAGGAAAGAGAGGCAGAGAGAAACAGATAGAGAGGGGGAGAGAAATAAAGAGAGGAAGATGGGAGGTGGACAGGGCCCTTTTAAAAGCGAGCATAGTGAATGTGCACAGGTGCTGTTCTTAATGGCTGCAGCTGAGGGTGTATCCTGTTAGATCCCCAAAGAAAGGCCAGTACAGATACTTGAATAATAACAGGGCCCACCTGTTACTGTCTGTTTCTGTATCCAGAGTTAATTCATCCCCTGTATTTCTAAACAATTACTGCTCATCATATAGCTATAGATATATAGATACAGAAATAGATATTGACATAGACATAATGAATCTGAAAGAGGCAAGGTAGCAAGATATGGTTCAGAGGAAGGGTTGGAGTGTGAAAGACAAGGGGGGAAGATACAATTTTATTTATTCCAAAAGAAAAAGTAGCATAATTTTTTGTTATGCTAAAGTGAGCATGCACATTTATTCTAGTCATTTACTTGTGATATATTATATGAAGCCAATGGCTACATAGAAGATTACAGAAAATACCTCTAGGTATTTATCTATAAAATTATATAGGCTGGGCATAGTGGCACACATCTTTAATCCCAGCTCTTGGGAGGCAAACAAAGATATATTTCTATGAGTTTAGGACTAGCCAAGTTGACAAAGAGTTCTGGGCTGTCTACAACTGAATAGTGAGACACTGTCACAAAGATAAAAACAACCTTAGAACACTCAGTCATTAATGGGGTGTGTTCATTAAACCCATCCATCCCCCATGGGCTCAGGGCACTCTGCAGAATAGGAGACAAAAAAGATTTTAAGAGCCACTGAGATGGAAGACATCAATGAAACAAGGCTTTCTAAACACGATGGGGCTTGTGTATGTATGATCTCACAGAGACAGCAGTAGCATGCACAAAACCTGCACAGGTTGAAGCCTAATGGGGTCACAGTCCTGAGAGGAGAAATGGACACACAAAAACCACACTACAGTGCTGGCCCCATGCCCAGCCAGAGACGATTGACACAAAACAAATTCAACCATATTTTTGAAGGTTGTTTTTTGTCTCATAATACTTTGTTCACACTTCATTTTTTCTTCCTTTCCAGATCTTTTGTTTATATATGTGGTTTCCAATTTTGCTTTTATGTTTGTGTGTATGTATGTGTTTGACTATGTATCACTGAGTGTCAATATGTGTTTTGTGATTTTTTTACTCTTTTTCTCTCTTTTTGCTTGTTTTGTCCAAATCTTGTTTGTTTTCATTGTATGTTATTATTAATTTTTTTAGATGCTGGTTTATTATAATGAGAGAGAAAAAAGCAAAGAGTGTGGTTTTGGGTGGATAGAAGGTAGAGAGGGGTCAGGATGAGTTCAGAGATATGAAACTCTCATCAGAATATGTTCTATAAAAACATTTTTTGGTGAATTTTTTTCTGTGATTAAAATGAAATGTCCTTCATCATCTCTTTTGATTTCCTTTAGCTTCAAGTCTCTTTTGTTAGACATTAGGATAGCTACACCAGTTTGCTTCTTAGGTACATTTGATTAGAAAGTCTTTCGCCAACCCTTTACTCTGAGGTAGTGTCTATCTTTTAAGTTGAGGTGTGCTTCTTGTATGCAGTAGAAGGATGGATTCTGTCTTCATATTCATTCTGTTAGCCTGTGTCTTTTTATTGGCAAGTTGCGTCCATTGCTATTAAGGGATATCAATGACAGATTATTGCTAGTTCCTGTTATTTTTGGTGGTGGGGTATGTTTTCCCCCTTTTTTAGGATTTGCTAGTGGGGAATTATTGATTGCCTGTGCTTTCCTGGGTACCTCTAACCTCCATGAGTTGAAGTTTTATTTATAGTGCTTTCTGTAGGACTGGTTTTGTGGATAGGTATTGTTTTAAATCTGGTTTTGACATGGGATATCTTGTTTTCTCCATCTATTATGATTGAAAGTTTTGCTGGGTATAGCAGCAGCAGAAGGATGGGTTCGGTCTTCGAATCCATTTTGCTAGCCTGTGTCTTTTTTATGGGTGAGTTAATGCCATTAATATTGAGGGATATTAATGACCATTGATTGCTCATTCTTCTTTGATTTGGAATGGTTGTTGGTGGTGGAATTATGTGTGGAATTTCACTTCTTTTTTTCTTTTGGCTGTTGGTAAAGTGGGATTATCTAATGCCTATGTTTTTCTGGTTGTAGTTAACTTCCTTTGCTTGGAGTTTTTGTTCCAGAATTTTCCGTAGGGTTGAGTTACTGGATACGTATTACTTGAATCTAGTTTTGTTATTGAATATCTTGTTTTCTCCATCTACAGTGACTGAAAGTTTTGCTGGGTATAGAAGTTTGGGCTGGCATCCCTGGTCTCTTAGTGTTGGTAGAATATCTATCCAGGACCTTCTGGCTTTCAGGTGTGATTCTGATAGGTTTACCTTTGAATGTTACTTGGCCTTTTTCCTTTGCTGCTCTTAATACTATTTCTTTATTCTGTATGTTCGGAGTTTTTACTATTTGTGGCAAGGGGATTTCCTTTTGTGGTCCACTCTATTTTGTGTTCTGTAGGCTTCTTGTACTTTCATTAGCATGTCTTTCTTTAAGTTGGTAAAGTTTTCTTCTAGGATTTTGTTAAATAAGTTTTCTGCCCCTTTGAGATGGATTTCTTCACCTTCTTCTATACCCATTATTATTAGGTATGGTCTTTTCATGGTGTCCCATATTTCCTGGATATCTTGTGTCAGGGATTTGTTGGATTTAAGATTTTCTTTGGCCTATGAATCTATTTCCCCTAGTGTATCTTCAACACCTGAGATTCTCTCTTCCATGTCTTGTATTCCGTTGGTTATGCTTGTATCTGTAGTACCTGACCATTTGCCCAGCTTTTCTATTTCCATCATTCCTTCAGACTGTGTTTTTTTGTCTCTATTTCAGCTTTCAACCCTTGTACTTTTTGAATTGTTTCTTGTAATTTTTGCATTGTCTTTTCCTCTCTTTCTTGCATTTGTTGAAGTTTTTGGTTTGTCTTTTCTTCCATTTCTTTGACTTTTTGCATTTTTTGGATTTTTTCCTCCATTTCTTGCAATTCTTGTATTTTTCATTTGCTTTTTTCTTCCATGTATTTAAGGGATTTTCTCATATCTTCTTTGAGGGCCTCTATCATTTTCATGAAGTATGTATATGATATATATATATTTATTTAAAGTTGTATCAATCACATACAAATATTTTATACTTTTGTTATGTGTTCCTTCTTTGCACTCATATAATTTATTAATTTTCATATTGTGCATACATTAATGCTAATGTGCCTATTGCCATTTTAATGTTTTATCTAGACATTTTTTCTTTTTTCTTTTTATTATTTCTTTTTTAATTTAAATTTAAATTAGAAACAAGATTGCTTCACAAGTCAATTCCAGGTCCCTCTCCGTATCCCTCCCCTCCTCCCATACCCTCCCCTCAGTCCCCCCCAATATCCCTTCATTTCCCCAGGGAGAGTGAGGCCTCCATGTGGGTGTCCATAGTATGTCATTTCATCCAGTTACAATACAGTGAAACATCCATCTTTCCTCATCTTTTTTTAGTTCAGTACCAGAAATTATAGTTAAAGCAATTTGGAAAGTTAAAAAATAAAATGAATTTGAAACAGGAAGATAAAGTGTCTCTGCAGACCTTATGATCCTATATATTGAAAATAGAAATATTCAAACCAAAACCAAAAACAACAGACCAATTCAGAGAAGCTTCAGGATGCAAAGTCAACACACAAACAGCAACAATGTTTCTGTACACAAACAGCAAACTGTGAATAAAGACACTAAGACAGTAATTCTTGTGGCTACATAGTGAGATCCTGTCTCAAAAATATCCTACTTACATCATCAACAGAATTGTCTATATAAAGAAATAAATAGAACCAAGTAGCATGTAAAAGGCTTACACACTAAAATTATGAAATAATGCTGAAATTTTTTAAGAAAGCAGTGTGGTTGTCAGTTACACTTTTATAATGTTTAGATGCATCAGCAGTGCCAGTCTTGTGCTGATAGCCCAGGAGGTTCCTGAAGAGCCACTGACAGTCTATGTTGACAAGCTGAAAAAGATAAAAGTTGGTGTCAGCAGAGGATAGCAGAAGCAATACCAGTGCTTTGTCTTCAAACTTTCTTGCATTTGGATGACTGGCTGGAGGCTCCACCCACTTTGAACATGGCAAGAATGCTAGATACACACAAAAACAAAGTTGCATCCTTATCTTATAGCAAAAAAGTTCAGTTGTTATGGATTAGTGATCCCAATCAAAGAACAATACTGGAAGAAATTATGAGAAAACAGCTTTTTCTTCTCAGTTAATGGCTTTGGAAACCCATGTAGAGACATGCTCATAATGTGTGCCTTAAGTGATTCTTCGCCTAGACACATATTCATCACAATTAGTAAGGTGTGCACTTAGCATAACTGCATATTAAGGAAGGAATGTGCAGAAAAAGAGATGTATACTATTGCATAATACGGAATACTAACCTACTTTAAAAACAAAGGAAAACATTTCATTTTAACTAACATGAAAGAACCTAAGGGACATTCTGCTATGTGAAGTAAGGGATGCACAGGAATTTAAATGATGTACGATCTCAGGTATGTGTAAAGTCTGAAAATTGAGGTCAAGGGACTCAGAACATAACATGGATTCCAGAGGCCGAGGAAAAGGGATTGAGCAAGGCTATGCTGGTCAAGTAGAGCAGAATATCAGACACAAAAGGAGGAAGAATTTTGGAGAATAAGTGTGCAGTAGAGTGATTATACTTAAGAGTACTGCACAGCACATGTGCAACCTTCTGAGAGAGAAAACAGTGTTTTGATAAGAACAACGCCAAGACAGATTTAACTTGGTTCAATCGTGCATTAGGCTCTCAAAAATTTTCTTGCTGTGTATACATGTGCATACGATTGAAAAACGCTCCAAGTACTGATCGGAGAATTATAGGTAGATTTCGGTAGAAGATGGATTTTTGGTGTACCTTCAGAGAACAGGAGGCTTTGACCTCTTACTGAAGTATTTCTGAATCATATTAGCAAAAATGTGAGCCATATTTGAACAAGTGCCCTGAGCCCAGCCTGAAGTAGGCCTTGGGTCCCAAAAACTTGATCTAAAGACAGTGTGATTACGAAGTTCTTGTAGAGAAGACAAAATTTAGCCAGACCTTGACTGGTGAGATTTTTATGTCCCTGGACATCCATCAGTGTTCTAGTTCTGAGAACTACATGACAACTTTGGACAAAAGGACTAAACTCCAAGGTTTAAACCAAAGTTCAGAAACGCACAACTGGCAGAAGTGTGCAGCACCTTCTCATATAAGTTGTAGAGCCTGTGGAATCCTTAGATTTCTGTTACAGGCCTTAGAAGATGAGGACAAAATGACTGAGGCCAGTTGTTTGCTTTGACTCTTGCAAGCAATGTTTGGAGATATTCTTTGCCCTTTATGGTTAAACTTAACACATCCTATGCTGTTGATTGCAAAGACTAATCCATCTGCATTTCTTTTTCTGTGACTAATCATGTTCATGCTTAAAACAGTATGATGTGGTGACAGATTATTTTCTGTGTTTACCTTTTGTATCAGTCATCTTTATATTCCTGTGAACATACCAAGAAAGGCTATGGGAGTTTTATTAGGAGTAAAACACTTGCTGTGCAATTGTGAGGACCTGAGTTCAGAACTCCAGAGCCTACAAGAAATCCAGGCTGGGCAGAATGCATCTGTAATGTAGTGTTTGTATTGTGAGATTGCATGATATTGACACAAAAAGAGTTAAGTTGATTAATGGAATCAAATTGAAGACCAGACATACATCGAGACAGTTATGAATACATGATGTTCATAAAGAAGCCAGAAATACACACTGGAAATCAAGACAGTATTTTCATTTTTTTTTACTTTACTTGGGAACTGGGTGGGAACTGGGTGGCAGGTCCCCCAAAGAATGAAGAGCCTAAAGAGTAAAGAAAATAAAAACAACAACAGCTCAATTTGTAATCACCAGAAATTGGAAAGAGCTTAGATGCCTGAGTAAATAGATCAAGAAAATGTGGTGCATTCTTACAATGAAATATTATTCAGCTATTGAAAATCTCATGAAATTCACAGGTAAATTCACATGATAGAGCTAGAAAAACTCATCTTAAGTCAGATAACCCAGACCCAGAAAGACAATTTTAGTATCTATTTACTTACATGTGGATATTAGCTATTAAGTTGTCAATAAGCAAGCTAAAATCCATAGAATAAGAGAAGTTAGTTATAGAGTGAGAGACTGGGAGAAAGGGACTATAATAGTAGATAATAGTACTATAGAGTAAGAAAGTATAATAATGGATTTCACCAGGAAATGGAAATAGGATAGATAGTTATTGCTAAACAAGTATGGGCAGGGTAATGGATCCAAAGGATCAAACAGGGATCAGAAGAGAAGAAGGATACAGGGTATGGAAAGTGGGGAGGACAGATAAGACTAGGGCTCATTTGGAAATCTAATATGGCAGAAACTTCCTAAAATATATACATTGATAAAAGTAAGGTAAATGGCCTGGTGGTGGTGGCACATGCCTTTAATCTCAGCACTCAGGAGGTAGAGGCAGGCAGATCTCTGTGAGTTCAAGGCCAGCCTGGTCTACAGAGTGAGTTCCAAGACAGGCTCCAAAGCAATACAGAGAAACCCTGTCTCAACCCCCCTCCAAAAAAAGAAAAAAAGTTAGGTAAATGAAGTCACCAATTAACAGGGACAATTGCACCCCAACTGGACGTCTCTGTCATCAAATGAAGCTTCCTGTGCCAGGAATAGGTTATTGAGTTTTGGCCAAAGGGATGCCTTGAGAATGTACAGCAGACCAGGCTATTGTCAAGGTTATTGGTTGCTCTCCACAAACTGAAGACCACAATTTGAACACAGAAAAGTTGAGCTGGTGCTTACTGAAAGCCTTCACCATTATCAAGCCTTCACCACGTGGTACTAGGATGTTCTCTAAACACCACCGAAGGAAAACTGTCAGCATCCAATCAGATACAAACCCTTCAGTCTACAGTGATGACCTCTATGCATGATGTCCCAGGGTAAAAGTGACCAAAGCTTGTGAGATTAACCAACCAGTATCTTATTTAAGGCTCACTCCATGAGATGGAAACCATGGTTTTTTGGGTGACCAAGAATCTCACACTAGATAGCCCAGGGACCTAGAGTAAAAGCAAATGCCACTACCCTTTGAAAAAGAAAGGAACAAAAAGTAGAAATAAAATTGCTCCTACATGCATAGGCTCCTTGCTTAGCCTTTAGGAGAAAATCTTCCTTCTGCAGTAGATGAGAACCTTGGAACACTCAGCCCTAAAAAGGGGATGTCTCCATCAAATTCTTCTCCTCTGGGCTCAAGGAATCCTATAGTGGAGGAGGCAGAAAGAGTGCTGGGAGACTGTTGGGGAAGTCCTGTTATTTGCCTGTTATTTGTCAATAAAGACTGCCTGGCCAATAGGGAATCTAGATAGGAGGGACTAGGAGTCCAGGAGGATTGTGGGAAGGAGGAAAACACAGGAGTTCAAGATGTAACCTCATGGGGTAGGAAGTCCGGAACTATTCTCTGGTAAGAAACATACTTAGATTAACAATTATGGGGTAATTACTTAAGGCAGGGCTAGCCAGTAAGGGACAAGCAAGGCCAACAGCTTCATAATTAATATAGCCTCCTGTGTGTTTATTTGGGACTGATGCGGCTCTAGAACCATGCTGGCGCAGGAGAGCCCAGGCGGCTGGCGGGAGATAAACCAAAGCATCTAGCAAAGAAAAAGCTTCTCTTAACAGAATGGTTGTCAGGAGCGGGATTGAATTTCCACGCAAAACAACAAAAGCTTTAAAGGAATTTTAGAAATAAACGAATGGAGAGAAGCACAGATTTTGGTAGCAGCATTTTTCTCAGGTGTGCTCTGTTTTGCTATCGACAAGCCGAGATTCACGTGGCTCGCTTACTGGAGTCTTCCTGACTTGGCATAAAAAAAAAAAAAAAAAAAAACCAGCAAGGTTGTTTTAAGAGACTCTGCTAACGATTGAAAGGTGTGTACATACAGCTGGAAGTGGCAGCTTTTGCTGGATGTCAGCATGGACTGAGGCTGTAAGCTGGAGTCACACTTACGCCCGCCATCTTGAAAAAAAAATGTCAGTTTAAAACAGCCGCGGTTTTAACACGTGGCCAGAAAAACATAAAGATTTACAGTAAAGTCGGACTTGGATGGACAAAACCTCTAAAGGTTTACAGTGTGTTTAAAAATATACGTGAGATTGAGAGAGAAAATGAAATGGCAAAGTGGTAAATAAATACAAAAGCCGGCGTTGTGGTGGCGCACGCCGGTAGGATTGCTCCAGAGGCAGAGGCAGGCGGGTTTCCAAAGAAACCCTGTCTCAGAGAAAAATAAATAAAAGTAAAATAAATAAAGTAATAATAAATAAATAAATAAGCCACGTAAAGATGGAAAATACACAGAGTCTGGATACTGTACGCTATTATGTTTTTCAGTTTTTTGCTTGCTCAGGAAGGAACTGCTACTAAAGTACACTTGCTTATAAATGCTGCTAAATTAATATATCTTTTGAAAATACCTTGACTTCAAAATTTAAGCATAAGGATATGTTACTCGGAAAAGGAGTTTTTATTTATGTTTCTACAGAAAATGAAAAGCTGAGAATTCCTTCCAGTCTTCTGTGGTTTGACCAACCAAGACCCCCGGAAGCAGTGGACCAGGTGTTCCAACAACTGAGACAGCTAAGATGATACAGCTTTACAGACCCCGAAAATACGGACTTATACAGGTTTCTGAGTTTTGTCATTGTCCCCATGGTATAAACAGCGCCCCCTTCCAGCAGGAAGCAGTTTGGAATGAGCGACGTCCCAATTCCCATCTTGTTTATAAATCTTTGTTTTCATTTAAATGGGATTGTTTATAATTGGCTAATGATCACAGCCAATCTTTTTTAATGGTAAAAAGGGGAATTATGGTATGGGTATTGTTTTTCATTTATTGATACAAATTCAAGGTCAATTTTGTGATGTGT